CAACAACCTAATCCAGACAGGATGGCAAAGGGCGCAGACCATTCAGGAATGAAGGTATGGGTCACTCCTCGGGGGAAGAGCCAAGACCTGCTGAGGTGCTTGCTGAGGGTGGAGGAAATCCAGAATGGGAGGCAGAGGAAGGCAGTTGTAAATACCAGCTGAGGCCACGTGACCATCGAAGAAAAGAGGATTATAATTGACAAATGTTTCTGTCATATTTTGTTAAGAATGTGATTTTACAAATATCTACATTTACTTTCTGTGATTTCTTTATTATATTGCATCACTTAAGAGAATATTAATAATTATCACATTTATTGATAATTATTGTTTGTTTTTCTAAAAAAAAAAAAGTCCCTCAAGAGACATTGCCACCCATTCTAAATTTGTAACACTTTCTCAGTGCATGAGAGATCGTTACATCATGTTAAGCACAATTATGACATGGTTGCTGTTTTAATTCAAAAATTAAGCAAGACATAAGGAAATATGAACTTGTCAAATTGACAAGGCATGGACTTATGATAGCTTTCTTAGTTGTCAACTAAAACCTAAATGACTGGACATAACCTGTGAGGCGTTATTTTTTTAAATTAAATCTTTTGAAATAGGAAGACCCTTTTTAATTCAGATCTTTGAGATGCGACAATCTACCTTTAATCTGGGCCACATCTTCTGTGGCAGCCTCTATAAAGGACATGGAAGAAGGAAGCTTGCTCTCTTCCCCACTTGCCTCACTCTTACTGGGAAGTCCATTCCTTCACTGGCATTAGAGCCTGCTTCTTTTTTTTTTTTTTTTTTTCCTCAGACAGGGTTTCTCTGTGGCTTTGGAGGCTGTCCTGGCACTCGCTCTGTAGACCAGGCTGGTCTCGAACTCATAGAGATCTGCCTGCCTCTGCCTCCCGAGTGCTGGGATCAAAGGCGTGCGCCAATGTGCTACCACTGCCCAGTTTAGAGCCTGCTTCTTTGGGATTCCAGAATATTCTGAAGACAAGCTGAGACATCCAGCCTCAGGGACTCAACTGGATTCTTTTTTTTCCTCCATTTTTATTTTTTTCTATTATTGTTTGTTTGTTTTATTGAGCTATACATTTTCCTCACTCCCCTTCCCTCTTCCCCTCTCCCATTCCATCCTCCCCCTCTCCGGGCCCAGCTCCCAATTTACTCAGGAGATCTTGTCTTTTTCCCCTTCCTAGGTGGATCTCCATATAAGTTTCTCTTAGGGTCCTCTTTGTTACCTAGGTTCTCTGAGGTTGTGGCCTGTAGGCTGACTATCGTTTGCTTTATGTCAAATATCCACTTATGAGTGAGTACATATCATATTTGTCTTTCTGGGTCTAGGTTACCTCCCTCAGAATGGTGCTCTCTAGTTCTGTCCATTTACTACTGGATTCTTGGACCTTATGTTTTTAGACAGATGACCATTGCTGGACTAGTTAGTTGAGCCATAGCCTGTAAGCCATTCTAATAATCCCATTTATATATGTGTGTATGTCTGTATAGTTGCATATAAAATATATTATCTATCTATCTATCTATCTATCTATATCTAGATAGATAGATATATAATTACACACCACACACACACACACACAAGTTCTGCTCCTCTAGAAGACAGGACAGGGCAACATCCCCAGGCCCCGTTCCATAACCAACAGTGGGGTTACAAAGACAACCTTGGCGAAGTACTCTGAAAGTCTGTTGTCACATGTTTTCAGCAGTTGTCAGGTGACCCCAGAAGTTCACAGCTAGGAGGAAGGTCCAATACAGACCTTGTGCTTCCTCCACAGATCAGGGTTGGATACAAAGCGAGGATAGGAAGCACTAACTTAATCAGCCCCTGTAACCCTCTGCCATTCTTCTCAGCCTTTGTTTCCGTATCCCAGACTTCTTCCACAGAGCCTCCCTGCTTCTCACTAACCTCTGACCAAGTCAGCAGGCCTGACTCAGTCTGCTCAGAGCTACTCAGTTACAACAGTGACTGTGACCCAGCTTCCCCTGCTGCACCCGCAGGCTCCCTGGGTCAGACAGGCCCTGGGTTGGCATGGTGGGTGTTGCCTCCCCACTCACCATACCTGGCTGTTCAGGAAGTTCCTGACTGGGCAAACCATCTCCAACACTAACATAACCTTTGCTGGAGAAAAATGCACACTCCTTAGTCTGGGGGAATAATTACCCACCCCTGGGACAGGCCTGACGGTCTTCATCTGTACTGTTCCATCGTGGTTGTCTGCTGTGAACCACTCCTCAGGCTTTACAGCCTTCCAGAAGCTCCTCCTCCGCACACAACTTGGCTTTCTATCGAATCTTTTGCTTAGGAGCATCAGTTCCCTAGCCATGATGTATGCCAGCACTCAGGAGGCAGAGGCAGGCTATCTCTGAGTGTTTAAGGCCACTCTGGTTTATAAAGCAAGTTCCAGGACAGCCAAACTACACAGAGAAACCGTAAAAATAAATAAATAAATAAATAAATAAATAAATAAATAAATAAATGCTAACAGGAACTTCCCTGGACAGCAGGGTTTTGTAACCCTGGAGGAGGCAGATAGGTGTGAAGAGATGATTGAAGGAGCCTGCAGGGGCTGACACTTGCTGTCTTACTTGTGTCCCTGGCATAGCTTTGCTGTCTCCTGCCCTGCTTCCTGTTCTCATCTTTGCTGATTAAATGTTTGCCTTTGAGCAACCAATGGAGGTAGGAGCTGCCTAGACCCACTTCCCTCGCCAGAGCTGTGTGTTCCTGCTTTTCAGGGAGCAGAAAATGAGGAGGAGGCTGTGGAGAGAAGGCCCAGCTGTTCTCGCCTTCTGCGTCTGCTCTGGGAGGAGGCAGGGGAGGTGCTGCACTGTGGGGGTTGCAGCTGATCCCTGTGTTTACATATCAACAGTGGACTGTGACAGGCAGAGAAGAAAGACATGTTGGTGGATAAGCTGAGATACAGGTGGACACGGGTGTCGAGAGTGGGTTCATTCTTTAAGAGGAAAGTGGACCCAAGGGCTGGAAGCCATTGCCCATTGGTGTGTGTGTGTGTGTGTGTGCAGGTCACAGGACAATTTTCAGAGTAAATTTTCCCCTTCCACCATGGAAGTCCTGGTACTGAACTTACATCATCAGGCTTTAAGCACTTTTCTTTTTCTTTTTTTTTTTAAGATTTTATTTATTATGTATACAACATTCTGCTTCCATGTACATCTGCACACCAAAGACGGCACCAGATCTCATTACGGATGGTTGTGAGCTACCGTGTGGTTGCTAGGATTGAACTTGGGACCTCTGGAAGAGCAGCCGGTGCTCTTAACCTCTGAGCCATCTCTCCAGCCCCCCCCCCCCCAGGCTTCAAGCACTTTTACCCACTCATCCCCACCAGGATCTGTAGCTATGACTGATGGAAAATAAAGCTGAAGGTATCTGCTTGTCTCTACCTCCCGTGGCTGTGACACACTTAGTGTGTGGTGTGAGGGCAAAGCACACTTTGTGCTGTTATCTCCTTCTACCTTTTTGTTGTTTCCAGGGATCAAACTCAGGTTGCCACATTGTGCAGCAATTACCTTTACCCACTGAGCTCCTTGGCAGGCCCACATCCACCTCTACTTTTACAAGGATGTTGGGGATTGAACTCAGATCTTGAGACATTCACTTTACCAACTGAGCCCCCTTAACATTTTCTGTTCTTGCCCCAGACTGGCCCCAACTGGATACTTACCCAAGGGTTAGTTTGAACTTCTGATCCTCCTGTCTCCAGTCTCTAGTGTCAAGAATGCAGGTCCTTGTCACTCACAGCTGCCCTGACACCTTTAGCCTTTTACTCATGCTGGAAATCCACAGGCCACTGGCAAGGGGCAAGATGGCATTGCACGTTGGGAAAGGAGCATTGCTGTGACTGTGACCAGGCCTGGGGGAACTACCTTCATTCCCACCTCAGAGAACTACAGGGTCAGAGGGCAGCCACTGGGCAGAAGAGATAAGTGGTAGGGACAGAAAAGAAGCTGGTCTCCACCCTGCCCAAGCATCCTTTCGTTGCAGGAAGCTGTCTAGAACCAGGTCAAGCCTCAGCTCCAGGTCTCATGGTGCACAGATGGCTTGGAGTATACTGGAAACATGGGAGTTCATAAAAATAAGAAGTGCTTTGAATGAAGAACTACTTAATTTAATTTCATCTATGTGTGTATGTATATGTCTGTCTGTGGAGGCCAGAGAGGAGGCTGAGTCCCTTAGAGCTAGGAACTGAACTTAGGTTCTCTTTAAGAGAGAGCAGTGCCGGGCGTTAGTGGCGCATGCCTTTAATCCCAGTACTTGGGAGGCAGAGGCAGGCGGGATCTCTGTGAGTTCGAGACCAGTCTGGTCTACAAGAGCTAGTTCCAGGACAGCCTCCAAAGTCACAGAGAAACCCTGTCTTGAAAAACCAAGAGAGAGAGAGAGAGAGAGAGAGAGAGAGAGAGAGAGAGAGACAGCAGTATCAACCTCTGAGCATCTCTCCAGCCCCTCAACAAATAATTTTTTTTTTCAAGACAGGGCTTCTCTGTGTATCTCTAGCTGTCCTGGAACTTTCTTTGTAGACCAGGTTAGCCTTGAACTCAGAGATCCACCTGTCCCTGCCTCTGGATGCTGGGATTAAAGTCGTGTACCACCCTGAATGAATAACTCATGAGTGCTGGCTCAAGAGGTGGAGGCAGAGGAAGTTCCAGTTCAGTTTGGGTTACATAGGACCCAGTCTTAAGCAAATGGTTTTGTTCTCAGGACTCCAAACCAAGTGTGTTTGTGTTCACTGGAATTACAGGCAGAGGATCAGGAGGCCAAGATCATCCTCAGCCAAATGGAAAGTTTCAGGCCAACCTTGGCTATTGGAAACCCTCT